AAAAAAGTGAGTCACATGGCAAAATCACTGGCAGGCGCACACAAGCCGTGAAAAGGCACTGGAAAAGGCACTGGGAAAGGCACTGGGAACAGACACGGCACATGGCAACAGTAAGAACCGTAGCTGGAACTGCTCTTCATCTGGCTTGCTTTCCTGACGTCTGCTGTCCTCGCTCGCAACGTGTCGATGTGAAAGTGTTGTTGAGCACAGAAGATTAAAACACAGAGTACTACGGATGAAGATGTTAGACTTGATACTTACGAGCCAAAAATCTGCAAACGTCACACCTTTAGACAGTAGATGGACCAAATATTCAAACCCATGTACCAATAACTGTCGCCAACCCCTGACCCCCAAAGGTCAATGTTGAACATAACTTGATTGAATTTGTGTTTCCAGGGTTTGATTTGTTTCGTCCATTCGCCGAAACATTCTTGCAAGACCTCTAACATTGAGCTTTGGGTAGAAGGGGTCCACGTGGTTGAAAGGGTTTGAATATTTCGTCCATCTACGGTAGTACAGTAGTTCTCGTTGTCCCCACCATCCTCCCTCACACTTTTCAAGGCACCCACCCACTCTACAAGTACTGACATCGAACCACATTTGTTTGCCTCATTGACGTTGAAAACGACGTTGACATAGGCCAGTGGAAATGTCGGAGGTCTGGGAACCAGTCCGCCAGTTTCGGACAAGAGAGCATCAATCTGCATCTGGTCCTCCAACTGGTGTAGTCAATACTTGCCACATCTGGAACATTATGGCAATGGAACGTCTCCCTTGCTAGAATAGAAAAATGTTCATCATCACAGCCACACACTCCTTCTCTGCCGCCGGATCGAGATTCACGTGCTTCAGCAAGTCCTGCCACAGCAACTATCCAACCAAAGCACTAGTGGTAGATTTGGAGCACACAAGTGCAAACCGAATCCAAAGAGCATAGGATGCATAGATCATATATGTATGTATGTGTTTTGCTTGTGCGCTGCACATTTGAACTTCATACCCCACCTGCAAAGCTGTGGCGTGACTTCCCGGCAAGACATGTCACGTCAGCAAAAGACACTTCTTGTCCAAAACAAGGAAATGAGTGACTCAGGCCTCATTGCCTGGTGGAGGCTTAACTGGCCCCACACAAACACCAGACCAACCTGAGAGAAGGGCACAAACTCTGTCTTGGAAGCGCAAATCGTTTTTGTGGCAGACTCTAGCACACTCTTGATTCTACATTGCACGGCATGCTGTAAGAGTCGAGCCAAGCTTAGTCAAAAAGTCTGCAAGACCAGAAGTCATGGCTGCAGTCCCCATGTGCAAAAATTCCTCGGCTATGAGTTGTCGTGTCGCAGTAAGTTCAAAGTCTGGGAAATTGCTGAGGCTTCACTGAAAGTTTCTTTGCATCTGCAATATTGTCGGATCAAGCAAGTCCAAGCCACGAAGAAAGCCAAAACGATTCAAAACTCTCTTGAGGTCCTGTGGCCCCGAAGGAAAGCGAACACTGCATGCATCTGCATGCTCCAAGATTCACAGCTCTGTCTCCGCTTCTTGGGCCGCTGAAGCAATGGACGCCAACTGGGCTCAGTCTGGGCAAACAGGTTGCTGTGGACCGCCTCGGGAGAGGACGGCAAAAGAATATAAGAGGAAAACTAGAATGAACGAAATGACCCTTGTAATATGCAAAGGGGACGTTACGGACCCCCTTGCTGTCCCTTTTTCACATATGTATCCTGCATGTGCTTCTTATTCTTTCCTTTATTCCAAACACCCTTCAACAAACAGAAATCGACCGAAAACCCATCAGTGGCAAAATCACACATGACCAAAATCCGTTGACATGACCTCATATTTGGGTGACTCATGGCAAAGAACTCTTTCGAAATGGCAAATCAGACCTCGACCGAACTTGAACATTTCGACAAGTCCATCATCGACTGGCTTAGGGTTTCTTTGCATTCCGGCCGCTGCATCATCCTGGTGGACATGAAGCAAGGGGATCTGCTGGAAACGCTCCCAATTCTCAGCATCCATTCGCCTGACCCAATGAATTCAGGTCCTTTGAAGTGTTGAGGTACCGAACTCAATTGCAGGTTTGGCATCTATTTCCTTGGATCCTGATGGCTTTTATAGAATCCCTCCAGCTTCTGCCTTGCAGCTTGTAGGATGGCATCCATCATGAAATCGATACCAGCGCTTTTCTGGATGCATGCATCATACGCATCCTGGAGCGCAAGGGATACAAGCTGCCTTCTTCATTGACCATATGCCATATGCTGTGTGAACTACTCTCCAAATTATCATCCATTCTCTCTATCAGACTTTCTTTCCATTTCTGGAGGTCTTTCAACATGAAGTGTCAAGAACAAGGTGCAGAAACACCTTGTGTCCAACCTGCACCATGGATGGCGCATCGAAAGCCACATCTGGGAGACCCAAGGGCGTCCCCGAGGCTTCAATACGGGCAGCAACTTGCTGCCTCACGACAGCAATTTCAAACGAAGGGAATAAAATGATCTCAATAAACAAGCCCAGTGCAAGCTGCTGGAAAGGAAAATACTCCGTCAATCAATAAAGTACCAGGTCTATTGCTCGTGTTCTTGCTGGAAAACACTCAAGCAATGCTGGAAAGGGCCTTGGCAGTCAAGGGCAAACGTGTAAAACTACAATTTGGGATTATTTACCTTGACTCCCTGGGGTGAATCATGCTCTCTGTGGGCCAGCTGTTCCATGGCCCAGGCCTTTCTTCCAGTGACCATTGTCCTCCGATGCCTAAATCGTCCTGACTCACAGTATTTCTCTATTTCGAAAGAAGTGAAGGTGATAAGCCAACAAAATGCACTGTAAAATGCCTTGCAACAATATGCCAATGGAAAAGACAGATGCTCCATTGCTCCAAGGGAAGCCACCATTCAGTTCTCTCAAAGGGAAGACTGCATCATTGGTCAGTGCCAACTTCTGACTCCACAATCTGCCAACAAACTGAAATATTTGAGGTCAAGGTGGCCAAATCTCTGTCAGCTCCTCCAATCTATCTTCATCATCATCGGCTGATAGTGCAGCTTCACGTCCCTCACTTGAGGACAGGATCCACCATCATGTTCAAAGACCACATTGCACAATGAAGTCAATGTGTCAGTCTTTAACTTGCGAGTCACAAAGCAAAACCCTTCAGCGACTCGTCATGTTTCGGTAAGGCCCTTTTCAAGCGGTTTCACTATCTAATTCTAGAATGTCAGCATTGTCCCCAGACAGCTTTGAATTGCGGGCCAAACGCTCTAAGGTATGAATTGCATGGTTGACCTTCGAATCAGAAACACTTCGGGTGGGCAACCCTGACCTTCGCTTTGATCATGGCAACTGAATGAGCGTAGATTGGCTTGCATATCCTGGAACGTGTCAGAACCGTTGCAATGCTGTTATGCAGATCTTTTCCTCTGTTGAAGCTGTCCAAGTCCGATTAATCAAATGAAATCAAATGTTGACATGCAGGCTGTCCATATAATGAGACCATGACTTGACGAATGGTCCAGCCATACGCACTTGTATATATATATATACACTATATTGTTATATAGTTTATATATATTTTTTAATATATATGTAGTTAGTTTATATTGTGTCCTATTTGTTCGTATATTTCGATGTGCTCTAGTTGTAGTCAGAGGTAGTGACCCTGACAAGCCTCGGAGGGTTATTTCATCATATGTTGCAGCTAGCCAAACGAACGGCCACAACGCTATGTAGGTAGCTTGACGACAGCGTTTGTCATTGCCCTGCGAAGCCTGGGCTGCACATGAATGAATTCTGAGGTCCCAAGGATCAGAAGGCACAGCAAACTTGCAATGACATGTGATTCAATATGTCAGAAAATATGAAGAGACATCTCCCTACAAGTATCATGGCTGCAAATAACTTTGGAGCCAAAAAGTTGCAGGGCCGCAGCAGAACGCCTGGCACTTTGTGCAACAAATACAAACTGGCTCCTTTATGCACACCACTCAAGGGTTGAACCTTACAAGGAAGGTATGGAAAAGGCCAAAACACGCTTCAGCTTCAGCCAAAGACTTGCACTTACAGTACTATTTATGAGAGTTCACTAAAGAAACTCATGCGGAGTAAATGCAGAACGAATCTGCAAAATTATGAACCATAATGGTACTTTACAAAGCTGCTTCAAAGGCTTTCTTTCCACCAAGTGTTTCTGGAGCGTGTGAGATGCGTTGTTGGTTTGTCTTTTGAGCTGCTGGCTCTTGTGAAGTCCTGGATACCGGGTGACCATGCAAAAACTGTGGTACCTGACTGGTAGGCTGGTATCTTCTTGGGCAAATGGCAAAACGGTGTAGATGTCGTGGAATTCGAATGATATGAGATGTCAATAGATTTCACATCTTTCGTTCAAGCCCACCCTCTGGCCTGTAAATTGCAATGCCACTTACTCTGCTGCCACTTGTTGAGCCTCCAACCTTGAAGGTCGCAGAAATCTCAAACGCTTCCGTGTACCTGTTCCTGTGGAAACTCCTGCAAATCTCAACCCTAAGGTCCTCAACATGCACCACCTCCCGATGCACATCCTACAACAAAGACAAGCCAGGCGACTTGATAGTGACCTCAAGTAGGCGCTCATGTGGTTTCCCTTCCAAAAGCCTGGCCACAAGCAAGCCCTGCCTGAAAGACAAACGACAAGTCTGAAGAAAGAGGTCCACTAGAAAAAACAAAAAAAGTGATGGGCCTTGGGGTGAAGAGCCGCAGTGGAAAAAGACCACATTGGGGCTCCAAATCAGCATTAGCCGCAGGAACCTGACAAACTCAGGGGATGCAAAGTGCTTGTTCCAAAAAGCAAGTGACCTGCAATGTCAAGCCAAGCTCGTATAGGATCCCCAATATGCAAACCAAAATTGGGAACTGCTGCTGGCCACACCAGCTCTGAAGCAACTCAAGTCTACTGAAATCTCTGCAACACAGACCTTCGCAATCTGCTCTGGTAAAGACAAAATCATAACCCTGGGAAACAGAACAGATTGGGAATCGTTAAAACTAATGTGCCTGAACCAATGACAACATACAAACAATATACAGTAATGCCCGAAGTGCTACGTGACTGCAGCACAACAAACCATTCCTGTTGCATGACAAACGGCAGTTAAACTTGTTGGTTTCTTGTCCTGGATCTAACAAGCTCAAAGGGTTGCTACGATTGAAACAAAGATTATATACCCATTGATCATTGACAGACTCTCCTCTCGGAGCCGCACCGTGTTCCAGGTAAACTTTGCACCGCTCATGCCAGGTGCCTGGATTTCTCAGCAAAGCCATTGCAGCTGTTCACGCTCGAGAAATCACCAATTCGATCAAAAAGTTAAGAAAAAATCGTAGAAAAGAAATGATCCACCTGAAAAACCTACCTGGATTGATTGGCACATGCTGCTCATGATGCTCCTTGAAAGGTTTTGCAGCACTACCTCACTACTTCCTACCCCGACCTTCAGTGGAAACTAGTAACATCATAGCCAAGCTTAGACGGAGCGCGCTGCTGCCCTATGCCCCTATGCGTTTTGGCCACACACCCAGTTCTTACGCAGCCAACTCGTTGCTTGGTTTGGTATAGCAATTGGTCTTTGATGCTCTGGAACAAATATAGCTCGTGTTGCCACTGATGTGCTCAATGTCAAATTCAATGGGCTTATCAACCCCTGTCCTTGGTTGCCTTTGAACTTCAGCATGGACCTACAAGATGCTGCATGCACCTCCATGTGTGCGTTCAAGCAGGTTCAACTCAATGCCTTTGGTGGGGCGTATTTATTCCCTGCAAAGCAAAGAGAGGGTTGTCCATCCTGGTCATTGGAAGCACAGTGTGCAGTCTGTCTAAAACCTCATATCCCACGTGATCAAATTTCTCGCGCGGACACTTGAGTCTGCCTTACTGGCAACAACCGCTGTCTCTCTGACAAACAACACGGGCTGATGATGCGATCAAATACACACAACATCTGAGTCTCTTTTCGCCAACCCAGGGCTATTGAGGGCACCACCAAAGATTCGTTTCGCATGGGGTTGGTCAAGATTAACACAAGAGGAACGTGAAAACTGATAATGGCCAGGTATAAGCCATTTTTGCAAACCATGGAGAGCAACAGCTCAAAAAAACTAGACTAGACACTTTTTGTACCCGTTTCAGCACAGCTAATGTGGATTGCTCACCTGTCGCCCTTGCGTTGTATCTGCTGCGAGCTCAGCAGTGACAGGGCCCAAAGAAGCAGAAGGATCTCCTGAGCGAGGTTGTTAAGCCATTGGATAGAACAGCCAAACGACATGATTCGGCAGGTTTGAATGCTTCCCTGCTTAGATATCTTCGAATGCTGGAATTGCCACGGTGGATGTTTGTAAAGGTCAAGAACTGTGGATAAATATGCAAGAGTTTGAGACGTTCACTCTCGAAGTTTACACGATACATGGCCCGCATTCGTCAAGGCTCTCTCCACAGCGAAGATGGAGATCAAACCGTGGGTCCTCATTTCCAGAAAGCAAAGTATGTTGGTATGGTGATATTGCACGGCTGTATCATTCCCAAGCAAAGGAAACCAAATTGTCTCCTCTTGCTGTTGTCTTTTGGCAGAAAATTCAATGAAAGAAAAAAGAATTTCATCACACACGCAAAATGTGCCACAAGCACAACAGAATGATCCATGGCCTGGAGATATCAGGGTGAAAGCCCACCACACCTTCAAGTCACAGTAATAAAGGTTTGTTACCCTCCAAACCTTGCAAAACATCTGCAAGTTTTGCTGAAGAGTCCAACTTGTCGTGCGAAGAACTCCCACTCAACAGGTGACATTGGCCGACGCATCAGCGTCAGACTGCTTTTTGATTGAGTGTTGGCGGAAGTCTATCAACAACCGACCAACACGTCAGGAGCAGACTGGTGTTAAAGTCGGATCGGACTGTTTTGTATTGACAGCTGGGCAAGTGAATCACACCTCAGCTCAGTAAGGCCTTGCGCCTCACGAACTCTCAGGTGCAAAGTTTTCTCCCGTGGCCAGCCCACCATGTGGGTGGGTGGGTGGGTGGGTATTTTCGAAGGCAACCTTGGTCGCTCTTGAGCCAAATTGGCCCATCTATTGTCACACTCTCAATTACACTGCTAAAGCCAACCATCGGCAAAGACGTCAGAAGCAGACTGGCGTCAGAGTCAGATCGGACTGTTTTGCATTAACAATGGGCAATATTGAATCACACCTCAGCTAAGTATAAGGCCTTAGGCCTCACAAACTCTGAATCTGGTCCAACCTGCGGAGATGGAGAACTCTTCGCCGGACTCTAAGTCTGGCAATTTTGGGGAAAAATTTCGTGCAAGCCCCGATCGAACAGGCCAAAAACATGCAACTTGCTAAGTGAAGCTGCGGGTGAATGCCCGAAAGGTCTTCCAGATGAACACGTCAAGTGGGTGACGTTCAAAGCGAACAACGGCACGTAGGCACGGGTACTGTGTGTACCAACTCAGTGCCCGGCGGGTTCCAGCCGTCAACGCAGCAAGTCGTCCGCAAGGCGTTGAAGCAGGGACCTGCCGGACTCTGGCACTTGCCCGCGGGATTGCTAGTGGTTTTGCGACGTTTGGTTGGCCGCGGCCAAAACAAAGCCGCCGAATGAAGCTTCAGGCGTTTGTGCCAGATAAAAATGAACTGTGACGTCCGCTTATAGCTTCACTCTTGCGCCCGGTCATGCGTCGCAAACACCCATATTTGTCACAGTTTTGACTAATCGACGAAGAGAGAAAACCTCAACTCCAGACCGGTCTTCCTGGTTCGGACGACTTGGTCATGGGAAGAATCCAAAACTCAGATCCCACTTCAACGGGGGCGCGTTTTGCTTGCTGAAGGTTGTCTGGAAAATCAGGCGGTTAAGGATAATGTTGAGGATGACTCAGTGGGTCAGGTCAGGTTTTTGTTTTTGCGCTGAAGCAATGTGAACTCGTAGTTTCCCCGCGCTTTGTCCAATGCAATCTCCCTAGCCAGCAAAGACGACTCTTTGGACTTTGCTCTTCCCTTGCCAGGTAAGCGCCAAGCACCAGAGTTCTCCGCTTTGACCCAAATTATTGAGCGCAAAGGACGCTGGATTATATCCAGATCCTGCCAATGAATGCTCCAGCCCTGAACTATACTCAGGCGGAAATGGGCGCAAGAAGAATATACTCGGCTCCCCTATCTTGACAGCTCCCATGCGCCAAGTGTGGCATCCGTCGAACGGCGGCGAGGACGAAAATAGTTTCAACTCCCGCAACCTTGCGGCTCGCAAGAGTCAGATGATCTCTCATCAGGTTCCGAGCGTGGGAGTAAGCCTTCCGCTCCGGACCAGAGG